CCAGAATATTCAACTCGAATTACACCAAGGACGTGTTTGACTTTTGACTTTCAACTCAGTGACAAAAGGAAATCCTCTCTTTAGTCCCCTCTAGACCACTCGTTCGAGTGGTCAACAAAAATTAACTCGTTAACAGCCATTTGAGAGGTTGAGCACGCTAATTACTCGAACGAGACACCACGTATATGGCGCGTGTCGTTGCAACGCGAGCGCGCATATTCGTGGCATAGGCAGAGGAAAGGTTTGCACGAGTACACTGCCGGCAGGCATACGTCGTCTGGGAAAGGCCCGGCTAATTTTGCTGGCTACGGCACAAGCGACCCGACGCCGACGTATGGACGCGTTTCCGTGAGGTGCACACCCGGAATTTGTGCCCTGTGGCTGTCGAGTCCGAGCTGCTTCGGTAAATGTTTACCTCCGCACCGCTGCCAGCCGATCTATGTATTATTATCGGATCCGTAGTTGGCTTACGACGCGACGTCCGACGTTGTCTGACCACCGACCGTCCTCTATCTACTGGACGGTCTATTACGGCTAGCTGTTCCGTATCTGTACGACGTGGCTGCTGATTTTTAAAACGAGTTCTATTTTCGGATTTGTTTCGCGAATTAATGGGAATTTGTGTTTGGAAAAGAGTTTTTTTTTTTTTTTTTATTTAGCAATAAAGAAAGTATTCGGACAAGAAATGACAAATTCCACATTTCGGTTTTCTACAAAATGATGTTAATAAAGTTTTGATTTAAAATCGATGTCGATCGTTGTTAATAATCATTCACGTTTGTGGTTTCTAATCTGAATTCTTCAATGTAAATTTTCGGAAATATACATATACTGCTTTGTTAAGTCAAAGTTTTAAGTTTTATAAAAATGCACTCGAATTTGATGCTTACTTGGTATTTAATGATTTTACACACCATTTCATAATAGATTTGAGAGAATTTAAAATAATGTTGAATTAACTTCTATAAAATAGAATATCTTTTTAAAGATACTAATTAACTCTTTCTAAATACTAATTAACTCTTTCTGATGTAAATTCCAAAAATTTTCTTTTTAAAGAGCACCTTTTCAAAAGTATATTTCAATTCTATAAGTTATTGCAGAAGTATATGAGGAAGTATAAAACTTAGAAGACATAATGTGGCCGAACTATAACTACAACTAAGAAGAGGAGACATAACTTTAAACAAAGATATTTGCTTTCAAACACACTAAAATATCAAACTATGCAAATTAGGAAGGAAATAGTCTTTTCTACAACTTTTAAAACTTCACGGAAGCAATAATCATATTAGAAAATTTCAAACAAACCTAGCTCACTGAACAAATAATCAAAGATTCAAAACCTAATATAAGATACGAGCAAGTACAATATTCTTGCAAAATTGCGATATTTGCAAATATTTTCCAAATAGTTTTAGTATGTAACAGTCAAATGTGACCTTATTTCATTCTCAATCTTACATAATTAAATAAGTAAGATACCGACGAAAACAATTTATAATTATTTTTCGAACATTACTATTGAACAAAATCGTATTATACTTAATTCCTCAATAATTATTCAACAATCACAATTACGAAGCGATAAAATTTCGAATCAATGAATGACATGCTTCGCGTGTCTCGATACAGGTATGAATGATCGTTGTCTTGAATATGTGCTGACCGTAACAATATCAATGAAAATAATTAATTTTAAAGCGTATAACGCTATTTCAACACTGCGTGCCTCGCTCGCGATAGAAATTGCCAACGACTTCCATATCGTGAGTTACCTTCATTCCGTGGAATATAGAACGCTGAACGAGAGTAAAATCTTCGAAATTAAATTAATTCGAATCCTGAAATCCTCGTTTACGGACACGAGCGAGTTAAAACTGAAACGTGACAACGACTGTCGACGGCGTAACGTGATTTAAATGATCGTACATGAGTGAGGTCAGTGTGCTCGATTCGTGGTGCACGAATATACGTAACACGTGGAATCAGAGAAGCATGAGGGAGAAGTCGCGTCATCGACGTGGCTGGCGAACGGCGATCTTAAATTCTCGGTATTTTGTAAACAGCGAGGCGGCCCGCGTGAAACAGAGGCTCGCGTGCGGCCTTCGGACGATAACGTTAATGGACTTCATTTACATGCCATAATTACAACGGGCAGTCGCTCTGTGCATAGATTACGCGCGAGCTGCGACGACTATAAGTTATGGGACTAATTTTATCCAAAATATTCATCGCTTACGCGTTTCCGGCTGATATCGCCAAACCAAAGTTTCGAAGAAACTTTGCTTGAAATTTGAGAACGTTTACTTTAACTGTTATACTTTTCCCACGACGTTTGGTTTGGTCGAGAGTTACAATTGGTATAAGTTCACGGTTACCTTTTTTCATAAAATAAAATCCTATATTCAATGTTGAATTCATTACAGTGGATAGAAGAAAGGTTAGATAACAATATTATTATTATTCATTGATATTATAATGACGTGAAATGATAATTGTAATAATATAATATTATAATTGATGAGAGAGATGAATTAAATATAATTTACATCCAAGAATAGATATTTGTTGTTGCTGTACAATGCGAAACATGTCATGCGATAAATAATTAAATATCTATTTATTATAAATATTAAAATAAATTATAATCAACTTTCGGTGCTGAAATTGAAAAATTTGTAAAAAATGGAGTCAATCAATAATAATCACATAACTATTCATATCAATTTATCGTTTCATTCGTTACTTTCCATCCGATTTATTGTGGATTATTACTTTATATTTGACTCATACAATTATTTTTAAATTTATTACCACTCTGTTTATTATTTTATACTGAGTTTAATGCCTTGAAAATTTTAAAGTAAAAATATCACATGCTATATTGAAACATTAAATGAGAATAGAGAGTAGAATAGAGAGTATTAATGCACTGTAGATCATCTTGATCAAGATCAATTATCGTTGATCATCACATGACATCGTAGAATTATTGTCTCTAAATGTCGTAGAAGATATCAACTATAGTTCGCGAAAGTAATTGTAGCAACTGTGTAATAAATGTTGGGTAAATACTACATCGTTCATTTTATGCAGAAATAATAATTTGATATAAATTATACTGAATGTGAATACACGAAAATGAATTCATGTATTTTTGTTAGACAATGAAACTCGTGAAACATGAGAAGAGAAGAAATTATTTTAACTATGAGAGTAATAGAATGTCATAATTACATTGGATTTCACTTAATGTTTATTTGCGTGGAAATAATATACGTTTACTTCCAATTCGTCTTTTAATAACGTTGTTAATTGCAAATTAACTTTTTTCCTATTTTCATTACATATATAAACTAAAAACTTAATTAAAACGTTCTTAATTAAAAATATGGAACATCGTAATAAATTAAATTCCTTTTTAGCCATAATTTCTCTGTTTCTCTTCTCACTCCATCGTTATTATAAAACATATTACAAATAAGAAATTCTTTCGTTTTATCGAAATTGCTTATCATTAACAATATTAAAAAATAATTATATTACGTTAATAGCTAAAAATAATCAAAATTATTTCCTAAAATTAATTATTGTCTAAAATAACAACTAATCTTGCTAGATTTATTAACTCAACTGGATTTATTAAATCATTCAAAAATATTTGTCAACGCATAGTGAATCGTCAAGCAAATCAACTGATTCGACAACAAACCAGACCAGCGACACTATCTACAACAGCGGGTTAATAATACCATATATAATAAATAATAAACGTCTCTTTATGCAGATCATCAGAAGACACAGTCACGCCAATTTTCCACGGTTTAATTCTCAACAAAATCAAGTGATAATGTCAGACATCTATGTAATAAATTTATATTAATATTGTATTTGATGGGTTAGCTAGATCCTTAACTATCTTTTTGAAATAATGCGAGACATCGTCTCAGTAAATGTTGTCCCTAGTTCTAGATATGAGAAAAATATACAACCAAAAATATAATGTTATTTTGCATCGTTGCAAGCAAATGTAATAAAATGATGCACCAGGCTGACTAGAAACTTACAAAAATATAGAAACCATTGACTTTGAACCAAAAATTACTATTTTTATATTAATAACATACAGTGACAAATTTTATTATTAAGTTATTAACAACGAATGACACTTTAGAAAGTGGCATTCGTAAATAATTTCTACGATGAAACGATATTCTCAATTTCTCGCATCTTTCCACATCCCCTAATTAACATATCGTTGAAACTAAAATCTCATACCAATATCTGTGTATAAATCATATAGACCAGACATTAAAAACCACGGGAGAAAAGGAAAAAAAGAAGTGGAAAGGGAAAGCAGAAACATCTTTTTGGGATTTCGGAAGAACGCGAAAACGAAGCGGAGAAAATTCGTCGTTTTCTACTTGCCCGGTTACCCGATACGCTTAACAACATTGAAGAGAACGCGTTTCAGCGTGGCGGTGTCGAGTGAGCGGCGTTCCTCTGCTTCTTTTTCAGCGTTGCGTTCGCGAAAATTCGTCCCGTGCGATGACACCGCGGAACACCAATTATAACTTCACGTCGTTTCGCGACCGGCGTCGATTTAATGAAGACACCACGTCGCGTAAACAACGTTTCAACCGGCAGAAACGAACTGCCAATTAACCGCCGGTAAAATTGCGTTTTCCTGAACGTTGCCGCGTCCAAAAACCGTTGATCCAAATCCTGTACTAGGTTTCCGGCCTGTACTGGTATGCGCGTACGAAATGCGGAATTTGGCAAAAAGCTACTCTTAGCTGGAACCTTAACGCGAACGCGTTACAATCCAAAAAGTTACGACCGTTTTCGATCAAACAAAAAATTCGTGTGCATCTGATCAATTGACTAAATTCTGAATTATTTCTTTATTTTTCAAATAACAGCAGATTCTTAGCTCCAGATAACGCGCGACATACACAGTGCCACTCGGTACAGTTGCACGCGAGCGCAACACTTACATAGCTCCTGTAGGACGCCATAACTCGAGCAGCCTCCCCCCCTTGATCGAGCGAAAGCGAAAGGGCTCGAAGGGTGAGACTCCCTGGTCGCTCGAGGCGGATTCACCGATCACCATCGACCACCGTACACCATCGACGACACTGAAACAACCAGCACCACCACCAGCACCAACACCAAGCACCAGGCACCACCACCATCCGCAGCGTGAGTGCACCACGCTCACCGTCACACGTAGCTCGAGCCGAAAAGACAAGAAGAAGGACGAAGAGCAGCCAAGAAGAGGAAGAAACCGAAGAACTGGAGGTACGAGAGATGGAGAAGGACGATGCGTGCGAGAACGGTGACAGACAGAGCGCAAAAGAGGGACAGATAGAGCGCAGACAGAGGAAAGATGGAGAAAGAAAGCGGGTTGAGAAGAGGCGAGCGAGGCGAAACCGAAAGACGTGGAGAACCGATCGAACGACGAACGAATCGTTCGACGAAGCGTCGTCCCCGACGGCACGTTCGGAGATAAGAGAAGAAAAAGGAGAACGGCACGGAGGCGCTTCGTTTCGGACGAAGCTCGGACCCTGAAGAAGAGCCGGCGACCCGCGAGGCACGCCGCCGTTCCCTCTCTTTCTCCGACTTCTCGTCTCTTCCCGAGACTACGTTACACGCTCCTCTTTCGATCGTGCTTTTCCCTCTTCCTCCGATCAACGCGTACGCACCGTCTCGCGTCTCGCCCTACCCTTCGCGTACGCGTATCGGCTTCTCTCGTTCATTCGCTTCGTTCAGTCGAGCCCTATTTTAAGAATAGCTTCACGTCCTCTCGCTGTTCGGCCGCGTCCGTTCCTCCACGCTTCCGTGCCCGGCCAAAGAGATCGTCGCGAACGTCGATTTCTTTCTTTTTGTTCTCTTTCTAAAGGAAACAGAGTGTTTGGAAAGCCTAGGAAAGCATTGCCTATTGTTACCTTGATGATGACTCAATGATCGACGATGGGGTCGTTCAGGTTAGTTGTATCGAAATGGGTGAATATTCAATGGCGATGGTACACTGTTTAACAATGAACGTCTGCAGATTTCATTCCAGTGCGGTAGTTGATGTAGTGCAGTTTTCAAGCTTTCGGAGTTTTATTGAAAGTAATTAGTAGAATGTCTATGCAACTTTATACTTTAAGAAACAGAATCTACGAAAATATGTATATTAATTTCTACATGTCGTATGAATTTTGTCGATTCTCTCTTAAATTTTCGAAAAATACATAAATAGTAGTAAACATATGAATATCATATATGTATATAAAATTTGGAATTGTAAACTTCTAGTTCGAGTCTGTCAATCAAGAGATACAAGTTTAATTAATAAAACCAGAAAGAAAAATGCAACGATGAAAATTCCAGAATTAAGCTTGACGGCAAACAACTGAGCAATATAAATTCCCTCCATTTGATATTACTTGCTATCTAAATCCACTTTCGAGATATATAATCCCATTTATTCTCAATTTCCTTGAAAATTTTGAAAATCCATTACGTAGCATAGGGAAATAACACGGTACTGTATTCGTAATTTGTCTAACAACCATCTCGCAAAGTTACAAAGTAACAAGGAAACCCACTCTCGAACTTATGAAGGAAACATCTCACGCGACGTCGTCGCAATTGATTTTGGATGCGGAATTTTACGACGAACAAACAAGGCTGGACCGCGGCGAACCAGTGATTCGCGAACGATCTTTGTTAGTCAGATATCCTATCTGACGTCGAATCAGACGAAGGGGGCTATTATCGAGTTAACTCAAACGGATGGCCGACTACCAAGTCAAATATGGAGTTCACCTTCTAGTTTTCAATACAATTCCTCCCTTTCCGTACGATTTCTTCTCTGTAACTCCGTTCGAAAGTATCGGCGGAAATCGTGCTTTGACAGAGTGTTTCGATGGAAAGGATGATGGAAGGTAAGAGACTTACTCCGCAGAGAAGAATGTCTTACGATGCTGGACGACGGTGTCCTTTAACGAAAGAATTATTCCGCGAAAGAATATTTTGAAAGGAATCGGTTCCTTGTAAGCACTTTGTGCAAGCCGAGTCGAGAGTTCTCGTTGAGAGGATTTCGAAGAGGAAAGGAATTATTCTTCCGAAGTATCGGAGATGTTCGAAAGCGATTACACTTTTAATAAGTTCACGATGGAAAAGGGACCGCTCGCAGTACTGGACGCGACATGATACGTCGAAGGAAAAATTGTGAAACACAAAACGATAGTGTAACATCTAATAATAATATTATCAGAACGTTAGATTATCTGATGATTCATACATATGATGTACTCTAATCAAGCCAATTCATTTTGTAAGTTTAAGATATATTTGTTAAAAAAGTAGAATCTTAGCAGAAATATATATAACGCTATATAATACCACGTTATTGAAAATAGTATTATATTGCAACGAGTGTTTTATTTTATATATTTCTGCATTTTATGCATCGCTAACAAATTCTATACATTTAATCCTTAAGTTAACCTACTTGTTACCGGGCATCTACACTTCAGCTACAATAATCCAAGAGTTAAGTAAACTAAAACCGGAACAAGAAATTCAATTTCATCGAGCGAATTTCACGCATTATCCAAAGACAATCAACCCGCTGGTACAAAGATCTCTGCTCATCATCCGCTGAAGCGTGAACCGCCAAGTTTCCCTATCGACCACATTTCCCTGCGATAACGAAAACGGCGCTAACCACGTACAAGCGCTGCTAAAGTAGCGTGCCCGTGCAACCGTGTAATATTCCACGAACAGTTCAGTGTGTGTGTGTGTGTTTGAGAGAGAGAGAGAGAGAGAGAGAGAGAGAGAGAGGAACGGATACAGCGGTGCCGGAATTCTCTGAAGGATTTCGCGGAGGAATCCGGCGGACGGCGGAGACAAACTGCTGGCAAAACGGGCGTCTTTGTCCAGGAAACGAGGACACGGCTGGCGTTTGTCCTTGTCGGCGACTGGATTCTGCACCAGGGCCTTGTCTCTTTGTAGTCCTCGCGGAACTGCTCCTCCTTCGAAACGGAAAACCTGCAGGAATCGACTCTGGTGTATCCTCCCGAAACCACGGAGCCACGGATCGGCCAGATAAACCGGGAGCGGACGAGGGAAAGGGCGAGCGAAATAAAGACGGCGGAACGGCAGGAAGTCGGGCGAATTAAAGCGCCGAGAATTGTTTCACTCGGAGACGAAGGACGTTTCCTTCTTGTCGAGTACCAGAACGAACGTCTGGTCTCTGGTTCGTGGCGGGCCAGGCAGAGGCTCTTCCTGGATTTCGAAAGCTAATTACAATTGGAGTTCGAGGGTTACTCGAAACCGAACCCGGTGGCCCGATGTGGCTAGAGAGCGGAGCCACGCCACTCGAGGAAGAGGGAAACGATCTCGTGCATCGAGATCATTATTAGCCGGCGCATAATGCGAGTTGATTAAAGTCTGAAGGGGTAGCGATTATTAAAGTGGCGTTGATAACGAGGGACCTGGCCTTGTCTTGAGGAAATCTCGTCGTCTACTTTGTTGAATTATTCCCGAGGATTTTAATTGCCCCGGTATATATATATATCAACTGGCCGTAGCGTGGGACGGACCGACGGGATTTGCCTAATTGACGTCTTTCTCCTTCGATGAGTTGATCTGATAACTGTCATTGTTATTGTTGTCACTGCTATTGTTTTCGATATTATATTATATTATTACTTTGTCTCGAGGATGCTCGAACAAGGGAGTAGAGACGAAGTACGCATTGGAATTAAATTAGGAGGATCGTTGATTCGAAACAAAAGTACTTGAGCGTGTTCCAAGTTGGTTTTACAGACTCTCGGACGATACATTAAATTTAATTATCAACATATCGTTTGTCGTATTGTTGCTCGTTGCAATAAATCGTGTATACTATAGTTTGAAGACTACACAATGTATTTATATAAGTAATACATAATGTACGGTACATTTTCAACGACAAGAAAATGATGCAATAAATCGAGTCATCTCCAATTTGAAATTTCAAATCAAAACGCTAAACTAGGTTTCATTTGAAAATAGTAGCTAGTCACTCGTAATTGTGAAAAATTCCAACTTATTTGCATGGACTAGATTAAGGCTACTGTAGATAGAGTAGACTTGCCTGTATCTACTTACACGTGAAGTAAAATAGATGAAGCACCTCTTGGCGAAACTGATTTCGTGCTGCCAACTTTCGACACAAGCTAGAACGAGCCAAAACCACCGAACTCGCTGTGGTGAACGGTAATCAACCCGTCCAGTAGCTGAGAAACGAGAACGGGTCCGCAAAGTTATCGGTCGAGGTTCTATCGCGACTTCCAGGAGCTTAAATTCATAACTCTCGGCAATGGTGGCGCCACGAGTGAGCTTTCGATGGCTTTCTAAACGAAAGTTCCCAAAACGATTTACCCACGTTTCCCTCTGAATTTCTTATTTACATATCCTATTTAAGCATACTTCAACTCAAAAATAATCGACAAACCAATGCATACGCTCCTTTCTTTCAATATCAAGCTTTCCTTACAGCCCAATTCTAAACAGAGCTCACATAGATCGAATCTAAATCGACGAGCGTCAAAATCGTGTCAAATCTTCCGGTGGCAGTGAGAATGAATCGCGTCCGTCTGGCCAGTGTCGCGGCTTAATCTTAATCAGACAGTCGAAATCGCGGAAGGCAGAGGCTTCTTGCATCGGGGCACTCTTCACGCGAATCCATCTAGAAATATTTTCGTTCCCGATATAGACGCACTGGCGTATAAATACGCGGCGAACAGGCAATAAAAATATCGGCGAGCAACCACTCGGGAAGAGGCGAGCGAGAACTCGACCAACGTGTTCATGGATGGGGTAACTTACGATGATGGCCCTTTGTCATCGTCAATGGCATTGACACTACTGACAGTCGTGCGGGAACGAGCGAGGGAAACCGATTGGATTTGACGAAAGGAGAGAACGTTTGTGTCGAAATATGAAAATTGTGTCGGTCGAATGTTGTCGAATAAAAAAATAAAAAGAAGATCGAACGAGTTCATTGATTATTGATTGATTGATGTATGGTTAGTTCTGTATATAAAAATTGATTTTATAACGTTTATTGTTTAGACGAATGAGAACCAATCTGTTTATACTTTTGGACTGGTTAATTAAAAAAAATTTCTGAAATTAATTGTTTAACTTTGAGTATATAATATCGATTACTATATGGCGACAAGGAGAGTTTTATATTATGCGAAATAAATTTCTGATCTTGCATTTTATTTCTTACAGTCAGTGAAATTTATACAAAGCATCAACTCAATATTATAAAAATTGGTTATATTCTCAAATTGAAAGTACCATTGATGAAGAAAAGCAGTATACTACATACTACATATATGCTACATGCATATGTACATAAGTTTATTTGGATGAAATAAACATAGGAACATTCTAAATGAAAAATACACAAGTACGAACCAAATTAAATATTAATTAAAAAATAAAATGATGAATGACATTAAACACAAAAGGAAATTACACCAATAGAAATAATAACATAAATAGACTGTAGTTAATTGAAAAAAAGCAATGAAAATGATGGAACAAGATGATACAAGTGTAACATACCAAAGAAGAAATACACAAATGGAAAACGAGGAAGTATTACAGGAGAGTTTAACGGGCGACCGAGGAGGGATTGATATTTCATACGTTCTAGCCCACTTTCCCATTGGATACAAGTGTATAACGTTCGGACAAGAATAGAGCGAGTTAGTCATCCCGCGTTTCTCCTGGTAATGCCGAAAGCCATCGGCCAAAAGTTTTTCCCGACGATTTCGAACGATGAGTCAAAATTTTTTTTTTATCATGGGGAATCGTGTGTTTAGTGTTTATCGGTTGCCTATTACGCGCTTCATATTTTCAGATTCTGATTCTCTCTTCATGTGGACGGTAAAGGAACGATACTGCCAAAAAACGAATTCTTCGTGATATGCGTCACTTTCTACAAATATTTCTCCCATAAAATACTCGTGCTTCGACCGATTAGTATTCTCGTGTTACAATTTTCCAAAGGTTACTATTAGTCTGTGTATAGCCAAAAATACATTTTTATTTCTCAAATGGTATCGTCGAGTCATGGGTATTTAATAAAGATTTAGATAAATAACCAAAATTTAGATTGTTTTTATTTTATATTTTATATTTTTCATGAAAGAGATTAGTAATAAAATTCAATTAAATTAAAAGTTTCAAAATTAAATAATTTAATCCTAAATTGTTATGGTTTCCAATAATCCAATGACTTGAAAATTGACGATGCTTTCTGGCTATTTTGAAATTTTCAAATAGAATAAGGATATAGTTTTATTGTACTAAAAATATGACTATCATTTTTGGCAGAAGTCACACACAAAAATATCAGGATGATTCACTGGAAATATCTTATGAATAGATATAAATTAAATTTTTGAACATTTATAATTGTACATTTTACTAAACAAGCAGACCAAATTTAATTTTCAATCGTGTGTTAAGAATTATTATTTCCTCTGTAATAACATTTGTTTCTTCAATTGTAAAAATGTAACTTGCATAAACAAAACTTTCCCTAAACCCAATCAAAATGTACAATCAATCAAAAGAACAAACCACAATTGTCATAATCTACTTTCCTAATTACATCGATACAAATCAGCGATCCCAATTTTATTAATTTATCAAACTCAAATTCTCGGAGGAATCATTTCAATGCATTTATGCATTATCCTAATACGTTATAATTCACGTGAGTATCGTGTACCAGAAAGGACAATATTGTAAATTTGCCGCAAAGTGGAAATATGAAAGACGATACAGACAGGCCGGTATCGTCTGCTCGAATTTACTGCCGTGCTACTTTCTGATCGGTTATTTTAAACGATCTGAATTCTGTTCGGGACAAACGCTTCGCATCCGAAGAGAAGTTAGCACGATTCGATTTATCGTTCGTTGAGAACTTACTTCACCTGTAAACCGTGAAGATCGGATATGTTTCAGAAGCTATTTGTTTTGTTAATTAATTTCCGGCAACGGGGTTACATTCACGCTGCAGTTTACACGCGCACGTAACATGGATTACAAAGGCGATTCTTATTTAGATCTTTCGAATCAGGCCAGATCCCATTGTTTATGGATCGTAAAGTATTCTCGGAAATGGTATTGTGCTCGAAACGGAACGACTTAATGATCGTTGGCGACCTAAATACCGTGCGTCGATATCATATGCAAGTCACGTTATCATTTGAAACGCGAATCATTCTTGAGATAAATTATTTCGGCAGGTAATTCAGAATTACGTATAACGAGCAAAGCATAGAATAATTCTGATATAAAATTTCTTTTGATTTCACGAGTTCGAGACTCGTCTATTCGTTCTTACATTATGAAAAATAATCAACTACTATCATTTCATTGATTTTAATTAATTTTAATTTCAATAAGACGAGCTATTGCATGTGATCTGCGATGTTATATGAACAATTGTGTAAATAGCTGTGAGTTAGACAATAATGTAATAAAAATAAAAACCTGTTAATTCTACTGACAGAGTAAGTGATAAAATTTTGATTTACACGGAATTTCATTTCCGAAATTATGATTGATCGAGTATGATTTTCTATTATTCTCATCCACGATGGTTATTTAAATCGATTCTTGAAAACGTAATATTTTAGAGCGGAGAGTATATCAAATCGCAACTAATTCAGACGCAGGATCGTTATTGAGAAATCTCTAGCGAGTGTTTTAGAGTCCACCTGTTGCCTCTGTCCTGACTCGATCAACGCTCGTAATTATAGAGCAGCAATGGATATAACCGGAGACATATTGCATGCAACCTTTCAGTTTAGTTACTATTATTGAATTCTACAATCTAGTTCGACGAGAAAACCATGAAGAATGTAATCGTTTGTAACTGGAAAATTATTATTAATTTATTATTTACAATATTTGTTGATATAGTTAGATAAAACCTTTTAACAATTAGCGTAATTGAATTAAAAAATTTTAATTCGATTTTATCGATTCAACCTTAAAGATTTCAATTCAAATTTGACATTAAACTATCTAATCTATTCGTTATATGTAATAAATATAGATACATCTAAAATATCTAAATCTTTCATCGAGTCAGAGCAAGAAAATTGCACGAATCACACTAGTTTGTAATTTCTTTGTAAAATAGGGCTATTTATTTACCTTGGTTACACGTGCAGAGTGTATGATGTTTTATAGAAAAGAAAAACCGACAACATTATGGAACGATATCATATACGTGAAATCCAAAATCGTCTTATTGGCTTTTACGCATCTTTCCTCTGAAACTGTTTGTTTCACAATTCAGTTGGCAACCACCAGCAGCACAGCATTCAACGTAACAAATATTCAGAATATATGTCCGACATTGTGAGTAGCAAGCGTTTCAATAGCAGCGAACAAAACGGGCATCAAACATATCGATCATTAAGAACATCGACCGCGAATCATCGACTCAAGTGGTCAATGTTTCCTAAGCTGTCCAACGATTCTGTTTACAAACGTTAAACTCACGATCGAGAAGTCAAGAACTCTCAACCGGAGATACTTAAGGGAATTCAGTCGAACGAGAGAGTAAAACCGCGGGTATATTTAGAAAATTGGGGCAGTGTGCTCGTCCGACGATTTGATGATTCAAAGATCATTACAGACCTTTTTACGAAGAACGAAGCTTTTTCCCATCGTTTGTATTAGATTAGAGCAGATGAAATTTCGTTTCTCTAAAGTTCCAACTTGATAAGCCAATACCGTTCATTAAATTTTGTTTGATTATATTAAGAAAGGAATAGATTACATTTAATGTTTAGAAGATTTGTAATAAAAAAATTTTATTACGTTATTACGAATAATCAAAATATTCTTGATGTGTCTATTGTCTGTGTGTTTAGGAAAAGTTACAAAGAGCCTTCATTCTATCCAGACAATTTTTCAATCAATAAATTATTCTAACGTATGAAATTGATTCATCCCGAACATTTTTGCGTTTCAGAATTAATAATTGACTAGAATAAGAACATTGATTAATCGTTAAAAATATGGGGAAAACTGACTTAGCATATGACGTTTTAAAGCAGATATACCTGACTTATTTTGAAATAAGACACGTATACCAATCTAATTGATTCGCAAAGATATACCAGAGGAGAAGATTGAGCGATATTAACTTGCAAATGAATCGTAAAAGATATTCGTCAACGTTATTACGTAATCAAATCGTGACACCAACAAATTCGAATTAACACGAGTTCAGCCTTTCGAACGACGGCCAAGAAAAACCTTTAACGACTCCATTCAACGTGACATACATCACGCTCCTGACAACATCCAAAGTCGCTTCGATTCTCTGAATAATTTTCTGAAACTCGATTCGAAGCGATTAAATCCCTAGACGCCATAGAGTGAATTTGTGCAAGTACGTTCACTTGAAATTTGAAGCTCCATAACTGCGTTACAAACTTTACTTCATGTTGGGTAATGATTATTTAACTACATAGAATAAACGATTTGCGACATGTTCCAATGAATCGTTCAACAAGTGAAATTATAAAAATGATTTTAATCCTCAGATGGTGTCGTTGAATTATAGATGGCTATAGTAATTTATGTTAATAAATACTACAGTCTACAATTGAAAAATTCCAGAATTAAGTAATATGAGTTATAGCTGTATGCCTAATCAGGTATAGTCCAATTAATTATAGCTTCCAATACCGAATGCTTTCTTTCGACACTAATTAAGGATTAAATCGTTCCAAATGTGTATCGGAATATCCTCGTTGAATTGAAAATAAAAGATTCGTTCGTTTGTTTGCGAGACTTCAAACAACAGGTTAGAAGGCTGAGTTTTGTCGCTAGGAGTAAAAATATCTGGTTGGTAACAGTCTGACTGTTATTTCTCGATTGTTCTACATCATGTTACACGCTTTATTCTGATTCTTTAGCAATTTTATTGAACAATAGAAATGAATTTATCTGGACACGGTAGAATATGCTTTTATATAATTTATATAAAATTAATAGCAAAGAACGAAGGCTTCTTGATTACATTTTGTACTGTACATGTATATATTTGAAAAGTGTCCTAGTTTTCATCTTGACTTAGTTTTCAGTTTTTGGAGTACTTACAGCAACAATTGTATTTCGGTGAGATTCTTGTTACAATGCTAACAATTGTTTCAAGGCTAAGCAGATAAATTTTTGAGGCGAATGAAATGCTCTGAAGAGATAACTTGAAGAATTACGAATTCTATAAATTAACAAGATATATTAAACCTGCGATAACGAATGCTACTTTTTTTGGAAATGGGAGTGGAAATTGCGAATTTAATCGTCATTGGTCTGATACTTTGAAATATAAAATTTCCTGCTGACTGATAAATTCTGAAATCGTTCGTCCAGTAAATTCGTGTAAAAGAAGATATAATTAGATAGTGTTAAATTGTCTTCTATCTCCCAAAGTTCCTTAATATTTTTCCATGGACATACTAATCATTGACATAATCCCATATTTCTTCATAGCCGAAAAATGATCAGACAGATCAATCGCCAAAGGTTTTACAGAAAGAGCAAGCGATGTAAAACACAATATTTCAAATTCTTGCTTTATGATTTCAAAATTTATTACTTTCAAAATAATTCTTAACTCTTGATTTAGTCCTTTCTACAAAGACAACAGCTTCCACAATTTCAAAGAGTTCTCATTGGCAAATACCGTTTTCTCTGCACAGCCTCGGTGGTAAACAGAGTGAACGCGAAAAAGAACAGCCCATAGAGAGATCGTGGCATATCCGCATATCCGGCGAAACACGGATGCGAGGAAGTCTCGACGCGAACGTGTGGTGTACACAGACGGTCGAGAGAGCTCTCGGGACTCTGTTTCGAGCGGAAAAGCAGATTCGAAGAGGCGAAAAGTCGGTGGCGGCGGTGGGAAAAAAAGGAGAGAAAGAGCCGGTTATTCTGGTCCAAGCTCTTCCGATGCGCTTTTCTCGATGGCCATTGGAATTCTCCGCCAGACGGAGCCACGTGGCATAGAGTGGGAGCAAGGTGATGAAGAGGACGCAGAAGAGAAGGGGCCAATCTCAAATTACTTGGTGAGCTCCCGGCTAGGCCGAACGAACATCTTTGCCCACCATTGCCCGACGACCTTTTATAGACACTCGACGGAAGTGGGGGAGGGGCTGGGAGGTCGAGGAAATTTGGTGAAAACTGGAAGTTTCAGTTGGCAAAGGATCCTGGAATTTTAACACGTTGTTTTCCTTTTTTCTTTTTTTTTTCTTTTTTTTTTCCTTTACTTTGTACGTCTATTCGTGTTTTGTCGACTGAAGAAAGACGGATGACGACAGGTGGATGACGATCTATGGATGAAAGTGAGACAGGTCGAAGTGGAAGATTCAGAAGAGAAAGCAGGAGATTCGATTGTCCGTTGTTGCTGTTTCGAGTGAAGGAAAATGGATTATAAGATATAAATACGCGTGGAATTCGCGACGATGGTGGGGACAGCGCTAGTAGAATGGGAAGCTCCTGTTTCAGACGGCTGGCTAGTAGAATGGGTAAACGATTGAGCGCAGGGATGTCGATACAACGGTTGATGTGTGTTTATGTAAAATTAGTAGCCAGTAAACTTTCTACGTTATGGTTTTGCGCGAGTCAATGAAGAAAACAAGAAAATAGAAATTTATTTTCTTTCTCTTTGTTTCTTTTACCTGCTGCATTATTAGATGTTTAATATAAAAATTGTGTAATATGTAAAATATTCGAAGTAAAGTGTATTGATTATAATATTTAGAAAGTAAAACAAGTTTCTGTTTTAGTTCTGTTCCCTTATCTCAAAGATCATGGATTTGCATAAACATTCGTAATCTAATTATAACGTGCGACTAATATACTTGCACAATATTAATATGTATAAACAAAACTACTCATAGAAAATAATATATATATATATATGAATATACATCAATACACTAATTTTGTACGTTACTTATACCTACCCACTCATCAGGAAATTATTCATAAACAAATCAACACGACCAATAACATACCGCTACATATTGTTCATCGATAACATCTCTTACATCATCAGAAAGATACTTCTCTGCTACTCAATCTCCTTTATGAGCGGAATGTTAAATAAATTTCAAGAAGCAAACCACCCCGAAGACTGCAATACCAACGTCGGTGGAAACACGTTTGGTATTCTTGTTAGGCATCGTTGCAACGTCAACAACGACGGCGCGAGTGTAAATAGCGGAAAGCTCGACGTTACGCGATGAGAGTGAATTTCTCGGCAGATTTCGAGAATATACTTTGCAGATGGCTGCTTTTCATCGCGACTGATTCGATCACCTGTTCACCGATCGGTCAACCTCTTTCTATCAGCTTATTACGCGTTGTTATTTATAAAACAATTTGCTTTCCATTTGATTCGGAGGCGTGTAAAATTATAAAACGCGCCCCTAACGCGGTGAGTGGACGTGTAAAAATAGTCACGGATGATTCGTCGATTCTAAAATGATTTTTGGCTTCAACGTGACGCTCTAGCCGGTGACGTAGCGCCGTTTCTTACACTTTCTCTTCTCGGCCGCGTTATTATAGATTCGAACATGTCAACGACACTCGGTCATCGATGACTGATTCACAAATGAAACTGATGACCCTGCAGCTTTTCAAGTACGGCATATCTAAATCGGTATACGAAGCGAGACACGGTTGCAGAGGTCGAACGTTAAGCGAAATAATTCCACGAACAGCGACGCGTGAAACGCTAGAAACGATTCTGGTTCTATTTGTCGGAGTGGCTGGGATAATTTCGTGCGCAGTAACGATCTTCGATCGGAGTCGGTACACCTGTTGAATCTCTCGAAGCTTTATTGCACACGAAGTTTATCTTATCCGAAGTAAAGGTTTGTATTTCATAGATAAACTGAGTTTTAGTTGCATTAAATTATCTGGAAAATTTTGGTATTTACATTTCTTCAGTTAAGCGAGGAAATTCTATGCTTCAGTTGGAATAAGTTTTTGAAAAATAATACTTACGGATAGTCTTTTATAAAATATTGTTCATTGGAAATTTCTCTAGCAATGTAGAATAATAATTATCGAAGGAAATGCCAGGAAACGTGAGATGCTGATATCTTAAAATATGGATCGCAATAAGTTATAATTTTACAAAATACGACATATAGATTACGGCTGAAAATAAAACAACATGCAACTTTTAACTTTGTATCAACGAAGTTACTGGCTCGAGTTCAATGACACAGTAGTTGTACCTACATATTTTTCTATTCCTATTAATGTTTATAATATGATAATTTAATTTGGCAATTTTAACACTCCTGTTCTACCATAAGTTTATGCTTATTTTCCTATCATCAATAATTGTCAACATTTTTTTCTTAATTTGTGAATAAATTGATTACGCTATAGGACCATTTATTTTCTCAAGTTACTACCGTTTTCCAAATAAAAACAAAAATTAATTCTTGTTGATGCAAATCAATCAATTATTATTATTTCAATTATTAACATAGAATAAACTCGTAAACCGCTCAATGATAATTTCGACCACAAAATTTCTATTGTACCAGATCAACAATTTCATTATATATATATATATATATATATATATATATATATATATATATATATATATATATCATTCTATCTTTCTCTACCCAAATTTCACAAATGACTACGATCAGTTCATTTCGTCTCGTACTCATCCTTTCAAAAACCGTCTCTTTCGTTTCTCTCGTACACAACGGACGCCACAATCAAGCCCAAATAAAGATACAAACATGGAACGAAGCTACGAAATAAAAAAAAAAAAAAGAAAAAGAAGAAGAAAGAAAGATAGGGGAGGGAAAAAATAAAAGCAATTGAAAATGAAATGACCGTTTCCCTAAGGAGGAGACCGTTTGGCAGACACGTTTGGCTGAAGAACGTGGGCGTAGGAGAATTAACAGTGGTGGTCGTCGGCTGGTGGTTCCCCTCGACGGACGACGAGGACGAGTCGTCGTTGTGTGTTCCTGGTGGGGGTCGTGGATCTAGCGCGCCTGCGCGCGACCGTCATTTTGACGAAGCCATGGAGCCGCCGGCGCGCCATACGAACGACGACGGGTCGCGCACTACGAGTAGGGCGCTGGTCGGCTCTGAGACCCCGAAGAAGAAGAACAGAACAAGGAAGTGGACGAGGAACAAGCCGAAGACGAAGCGGCGAGGTGGAAGAAAAGTGGTAGCGAAATTATATTGCGACGGTTGTCTTTTTTTTCTGGTTTGAAACACATTGAAACGACTGGCACCAGCCGGCGAGAGAGAAGCTGCGTTTAACTACGAGGAAAGCCCGAGAAAGAAACGAATCTCTCCGGCTCTGTACGAGGAAGAAACTACCTTCGTGAAAATAGCGAGTGAACCAAGTGGATAAGGATGTCTTCAGCGGTCGCTAAAACTTCCAAGTACACGTACCGCTCCACCGGCGGTGGTACTGCCGATGTCAGCATCGAATACAGCGCCGACCTGAGCGCTCTCTCCAGACTGGAGGTAGGTTAACGGAGAAACGAGTGATAACAATCACTTTATTCGTTCCTTCTCGGAATGTATCTTGGGAGATAGTCACGACTGAGAGTACACGTATACTGCTTCATTTTTCTTTGTTGCCCTTCCATGCATTCTGTTCTAGATATCGAGTATAATTTTTCAATTCAACTCATCTCGTTTTAATTTGATCTTTCTATCTGCGCGTAATACACCTTGTTATGACAATAGTTAAGAAAAAGGAAGCACCGTAGTAATAAGGTCTAAGTTTCCAAAAAATTGGTTAGTTACTATCTCGTACAAGTACTGCTCGTAACTAGTTGTTAAGAATAAGAAGGGAACAGGAGGGATCACGCAATAAAACCATTAATGTTCCATTTACATGGTTCCTAAATCATTTCACTGCTTGAACAGTTGAAAATATCTTTTACGCAGGGTATTAGATATCGTCTTATGTATCTCGTGCTAGATCTAAACTCTTTGATCCGAAGAGTCCAAGCTTTTAGCAAACCTAAAATGTTCGTCAAAGTCCACCTGATGATGCAACGCGGAGAGGATGAAACGAAGGAGCGAGAAGAGGGTCGAAGCATCGAATCTTCTTCGAAGAAGTCGTTCGACGAAGAACGACGTTGAACAAGCATGCAAAGAAGGAACAAGAACTAAATGGAGGAAGTGATGAGCTGGTGAAAAGGTGAAACGTCGAGCAGTGACCGATTTCGGGGACAGTGAGACGCGAGAAAGTTCAGTGACCATAAGGGATATAAGTGCCAACCCTGATGAGGAACGAAAGTGTCGTAGACGGTTCTTTAGCTATCGGATTGCTCGTGTACAAAAATAGTCGTAAATATCGGCCTTAAATGACGATCGTGCCACGCAAGAGTGACATCCTAATCCGATCCACAAAGCGTTCTCGTCGAAAACGTCTTGGTCAACGTCTTCCATCCGGATCGTGTTTCATTTCATCGAGAAAAATTGAAAGACAACGAAAGAGGAAAACTCGAAGAGCCAGGAAAAACGTGTACTCGTCTCATGCACTCAAGTAAGATTGTTCATTATTTCTCTTTCTCTCTTTCTCTCTCTCTCTCTCTCTCTCTTTCTTTTAATTCGAGAAGAACCGTTTGCTGTTGATCTCGTTAAGGAACACGTACAGACGAGTACACGTTCGTTGGTTCCTTGGTTGAGAGAAACGACCCCGATGAACGGTCGCTGAGAAGATCCTCCTGTTCTCTCCGCGGATCAGCCTGTTTCAGAGGCTGTCCGTCTTTCTGAAATACCTTCCGAGCGTCGGCCCGTTGGATATTTTCGTCGGCCGATTACGTAAAGGCACCGACCCTTTGTAACGTGGCCGGCGACACGCTCTAATCCTTTCTTGCCTCTCGTTTCAGGACAAAATCCGCCTGCTGCAGGATGACCTGGAGTCTGAGAGAGAGCTGCGTCAGAGGGTGAGTTTTCTTTCGATCGATCCTTTTCTGGTAATCTTCCTCTATGATGCTCTCTTGTTCCAACATCGGTTCATCGATTAACGAAACGTGTGATCACCCTGTTTCGAATTACTCTAGAATGTTATGTTTGTTATGTTTCTATTCCTTTTCTTTTTTTTTTTTTTTTTAATAGCGATTTAAAGAGTGATTATTATTTCTTTTTCTTTTCGTCCGGTAGATGATAATTCCTAGCATGCAAAAACTAAGTTGTATCCTTGTAGTTAGTACCGTAGTCAGTCACTTGGTCACTACGAGAAGAAAAAATCTTCTCAACAAGGCGATCAGATCATTTTTCTTTGATATCGAGACGTCGAAGGAATTCGACGCTAGACACGCCGAGATCGCAAAGACAAAAATATCAGGACAGCCAGAGATAAACGTCAATTCTGAGACTTTATGTAATCCGGGTATTGTGAATTTTGAAACTGATACAAAAAAAGCGGGGCTGGCCTGCTCTCCATCATAGAGTGGGGAGCAGTAGGTCGAAATGTCCAGCTCTCGAGTCGCGGCTATTTTTGGGGATGCGCGCCTCTTCAGCGTACGAACTCGCATTCCTCTCTCGTGTTCGGCCAACACGTATCTACGTCTACCTGTTTAAAAAGACAGCACCGAGGAAAACAAGTACTTTTATCGAAAATTTACTTCCTTCAAAATTGGCGACACTAAAAAAATTTGAAATCACTTCTTCGAATCGTAGACGCTCGTTCTTCGATTAATCATTAAATAATTATATATTTAATGAATAATAATGACAATAATTTCTTTTCTTTTCTCTGTGAAATTCAGAAAGTTTTAAGATATAAATTTTTGATTCGTTGAAGATTAAAGTTTAATATTCTAAAGACAGTGATAGCCTATGTTTGAACAGACTATTAAATTTTGAAAGAATTCTTTGCAATTTTTTATTTGATCAAATTTCAAGGAAATCAAATTCATACGTAATACTGCTTACGTGACTTGAACCGATGCCAACGACATTTTCCACGCTTCGAAACCTCAAAAACCTCAAAAACTTGGAAATCGTCATCGTATTAACGTGAATCATTCGATAAAATATTCGGATAATTATTTCTATTAAAATTAAATATCCCATGCTATTTCTATAAAGTGTTGCAATTTCTTGCTGCTTTCATTACGATTCATTCCTATTTAAATTGATGTTTTAATATTCTAATATTCATTCATATATAATATTATAATTAAATCTTTACAATTATGTTCATTCAAATATTCACTTGTAGATTGTATAATTAATTATACGGTCTACAAGTATATCACATTTTTTTAAATAAATTCATCGACATTAATTAATTGAATTTTTTAATTTTTTTAAAAGAAACTACAAGTTACTATGGATACTAAAAATTTAGCAACGCAAGTTGCTCTGTAGCTTCAAATCAAATACTTTGTTAATCTTTAGAAGCTTTCCGATCAAATCTGAAATCTCTTACACATTTAAACTATTAAATAATAAATTCTATAATAAATCTTTTATCCTAAAAATTCACATTGAACTCTCGTTATTGTTCTTTCAACAACTCAAACTTTATTCAACTTCGAATTCTCGAACTTAGGCTTTCCTATTGAAAGCTATACATTTAATGATCGATAGATCTCCGATTAAGAAAAGCAAGGATGAACGATTACAATTCTCTGCAGTCGAAAAAGAGTCATTTAATTCTGAAAATTATTCCTGCATCCTTTGTTTTCCAGCATTTTTATCAATAATATATAAATTCAACCGGAACCGTGGAAAATGCTGATGGTTTCCGGAGAACGGACAGTAATGGCGATGTCGCGCGACTCTCTTTTCTCGATAAACGCCTCGTTTGTAATATGAATAAAGCTCCCGATATAGAGCCAGTCCGTACAGAATTAGATCGTTCTATTCGCGGTCCAAAGAAACCTGACGTCAAGCTTGCACCGAGCTGTTCGCGTCGTTCCTCGAGGCCTCTTTTCAAAACAATGCCGCGCGTCTCGATTACACTCGACATGTATCAACACGAACGCCATGAATTGTTAATTGTACACAGGAATATGTACATATGTAAAATATAATTGAGAATACTGGTATTCCTCACATCACAGTGGCACGTTTCTGAACACGTTATGGAATCTTCTACAAGGTATCTTATGTTTATTATCAGGGAAATGGGATGATTGATGCCTGATACTTTTGAAGTTATAGAGATGTTTGATGTTTGAATGTTGGAGAATTCGTAAATGAAATATCCGAGTGTATGAAGAGTTATTTTTAAATGTTAGAGAAATTGAGAAAGTGTTAGCACTTTTATGTAAATAAAAAGTTTTAGTTTCGCAAAGATTTAGCTAAATCATACACATCTGTTTTTATTTTATTTTTATCAGAATAGAAGCTAATTCGTGATGTCAGAGAGATTCTCTGTGGATACAGAGGAATGAAAATGACTAAAAGAAAGAATTAAAAAACTAACTTTGTCTTTCATTCATCAGAAACTAATCGACTAATTTATATATGCTGCGTCTCTAGAGAAACAGATCATAATTTTTTTCATTTAATTTACAGATCGAACGTGAGCGCGCTGACTTGAGCGTGCAAGTCATCCAGCTGTCCGAACGTCTTGAAGAGGCAGAGGGTGGCGCCGAATCTCAAGTAAGTATCAAAATGAATCATTCCAACGAAACGTTTGATTCCTCGTCCGATTTTCATGCAGTTTCCACAGATTTGCAGATTTTTGTTCGACTAAATTTCTTTAATAATGCAACGTTAATTCTGCAGTTCGAGATTAACAAAAAGAGGGACACGGAACTGGCCAAACTGCGCAAACTACTCGAAGATGTTCATCTCGAGAGCGAGGAGACAGCGCATCTTCTGCGCAAGAAGCACCAAGAAGTCGTTGTCGATTTCCAGGATCAAATCGATCAACTTTCGAAAGCACGCGCCAAGTTAGTAACTTAATCGAAGTTATGATTCTTCTTTTATATTTTTATATATTCAAAGGAAATAGGCTGCTGAAAGATTTAATAGAGAATATCGCTATATTTTCTCTACATTTATTCTTCCATATATAGATACGTACTTTTGTCCAGTCATCACATATGTCAAGGCAATTAGTTTACCACATTTATCACGAGGTACTTAAGTTACGTGATCATTTATTCAATTATCCTATTTTCAGTGTGTTTGTTTTATTACCAAACAAATATCATCATAAATTAGATGTTGCCACTTATAAAATAATCTATAGTCGCTCAAAAAATTACTTCGTTACTTTTTGATTGTTCGTTTTCGACGATTTTTATTAAAGCACTAGCATCTGAAAATTCAATAGTATTCGACGTGAAATTTCCCGAATTAATTAATTTCCCAAATTAAACTTCAGTTTAGTCTCAAGGGAGTTGGATGTTGTTCGTAGAATTAGATATATTTCGCTCCAAGAATGCATCGTTACCTGCTCCGTTAATCGACCGTACTCGAGGCGATATTGAATCGCGAGTGAAATGAGGCGAAACGCGCGATAACACTCTGTCGGAAGTAAGATGTCGAAACACACGTCGAGTCGCGGTAGGGTGCAGAATACGCCGAGATAGGAAACACCAATAAACCGTGGTTAATTATATACACCTGTGAAAATAAAATCGCGGCCTCGCGATCTCCCTTCCTCTTTGAGGTCAAAGCGCGCGAACGCCGTGCACACCGTCAATAAACAGCTCGCCGGAAGTTCGGAGATTCGTCGAAACCCAGTTTCGTTTCGCGCGTGTTATCGAACTGATAGAGAAACAGAGAGACGAAGGAGAAGGACTGGAGAAGTGGAGACGACCGGATAAAAAGACGTGGAATGAAACGAAACTGGAAAACAGGAATGAATCACTGCTGGATCGTTAATTATAGCAGGCATCGCGCGGAACGAAAGCGTATTCGAAAATTGCGGGAATTATGGTCGAACGATACTGGCCTCTGGCCAAACAACGAATCTACTCGCACCTGAAATACGTGTAGACTCGTTCCCCCGGCACTTCTAAACATAACCGGCGTCCTTTTCCACGTCCCGGCGCCCGAACGCGTGATATTACGCGTTACAAGGACGCCTCCGTTTCGAAAATTTATCGAACTGTCATCTAAACGCCGTCTATTATTTCGGGCGACTGTTGCCTGTATCTCTGATAAGTTTTAGAGGGCTTGGTAATCAAATTTTCTGAATTATATCCCTCGTTACCAATATGTGGAGAATATTTTCATAAGGTGAAGAGTTGATATTAGGAAGGCTTTTGACATTACTTTTACGTAATGATTTTTTTAAACTTAGGATTAGAAATCAAGGTTGTGAACAAGTCGTTTCACAGTAGAGTGGAAATTAAGTTAGTATATTCAAATTTGGATATATTCATCTCTTGAGTGATGTATGTTTAATTTTTATTTTATTCAAGCATGATTTATGAAGATACGACGAAGAGTGCATAAAATCCTTTTACGAATAATCTATATTGACTTACGATAGTACATCATCATTTTTCGAAGAATAATCTCCTTCTAGTTTTGATGAACTCATATCTGAGAAAATTCATCTATTATCGTTACAGAGTATGCTAAAAATAAACCAATTATCATTTCATACAATTCAAGTTATTTAAACTTGGCTCTTCCACTCAAATTGGGCAATTCTGTTATAAAGATTCGTTGATTTCGACATACTTCACAAATCAGGAGAAGACAATTTACAGTCGATCTAAGTGGTTCTTTTCCCCAAATTTAATCCGTTAAATCACATCTTCTTCAAGTTGGACGATTTTCCTCGAAAAGCAGACAAATACACGAGAACGATTAAAGAATAAAAAAGAATCACATTCTTCTTGGCTTCAGAAGAAATTTTCTAACGTTTGTTTGCAGTGTAAATGCGGAGAAGTGAGATAAGAACCAAAAATCGGAGCCTAAAGGAATCGAAACTTATTCCGTTCTAAATATATTTTTCAAGAGAGGCAATTACGTGTCAACGTTTACGTGTCACATCGAAGCAGCAGTTAATTGCCTCTTAATATTTCAACCGGCGGTACAGAACAATCTGATCGCCATTAATCGCGCTGAAAAATAATAAATGAAGGCTAGTTACGATGTTATAAATGTAAAATGGCCGTTTCATTGGCCACCGTGATTTCGTAGGAAGATGCAAATTCCATCTCGATTCCTTTTTCTTGTACGATCTTCCTTCAGTCACCTTCGAAGGCAAGAGAAAAAGAAAAAGACGACGGCGAAGAGAAACTCGAGGTATTTAGAGTATTTGCATGGCGTTACAAAAAGTTTCCACCTGTTGGTACACGGAGGGCGTTTAAAATGCCTTTTAAAATAGCTCTTTCAACCAGCTTTCGTCGCTCTCTTTATTACACAGTCTCCATTATCTTCTTGTTATTCGCTCGTTTCCACGTTCCTCTCTTAAATCTTACTTTCCTCTTTTCTCTGTTTTCAATTTAGCAGACTCTTTCGTTCTCGAGCCTCATGTACGTATTCTATAAATTCTCGTTCTCCTCTGGTTTTGTTACTTCGATTGCAATGTTTTCTTACACCTACACAGCAATCTTGCGCTTCCTTTTCCCTTTCGTCGTATTTATACGCTGTCTCAGCTGTTCTATCAAAACCTCACATAACCTCATTTCTGAACGAATTCCTCGCCTTTTACTCATCCCAGTATTTCCAATGTTGAAATTTTTCCACTACATTTTATTTCATTTTACACCGTTTCTCTCATTTCCCATTATTGCCATTGTCTTTTTACTTTCTTATTATTATATTATTTTTTTGCAATTTCTCTCTCTTTTGAAACCTTTCGTAAATTATAGATACATTTCAAATCCATGACAAACGTATTAAAATAAACCGAAACAACACATCATTTAAATATACGGTCAAATGCAATAAATCAAAGCAAGATATTTCTTTCATCGCGCATTAGAGTAATTCAAGGTTGGAGTATAAATGTGAAAAATTGAGACAGTTCGCCTCCACATATACACATTTTTGCACGTTACGAGCGCTCTCCGCATTTTTCCACGTTTTCCACAAACGTTTCCTATAAAAAAAA